CGACAGACGCTACGACGAATACTACTTCTACTTAAAAGAACCTCCAGAAAGGGAAGCGGTCCCGATTTGATTGATGGGTGCGTCTGACTGATATCATCTAGTAGAACTAAAGCGTTGTTTTTTTCAGGTGCAATCGCGAAATATTTGTATGATTCAGTATACTGAAATTTTATAACATCTTCCAAGACGCACACGTGAGCACTAAAGACGCAGTGTTGAGCCGAACCCCCCGCCCAGAGCCATGTCATTCAGTAGCAAAACGGTCCTTTTCTAATTCACTGAAACAATTGCCTTCTGTGGATCTTGAGAATGGTAAGCTTGATTACAAAACATAGGAGTATGGAGCTGCCGCCGTATTACAAAACGCCCTGTGTCACATTTCAGTTTGGTGGCGGCTAGTGCAGTGGGGCCTACACGAACTTCTTCTGCGCGCATAGGACTGTTTTGCGTGATCTGACTGCAGCCGCCTCTGCCGTTGCCAACCAACGCTGTCCAAGTGCTTCTGGATAGCTGCATCAGCCAGTTTTCCAGCAGTTGACGCCTGTGTACTCTTCTTCACCAGTCCCATCCTATACGGAGTAGGCAAGGGCGAACTGCCAGCTCAGACCACCTCTTTGCGTATGTACCCCTTCACCCGCTTCCGTTTGTCGCGGGAGCCGGCGTTTGTCCAAAAAAGCAAGAGAGCACTTTCCGGCATAGCTGAGAAAGGGCCAAGTAAAGAACATTAATTACTCTATACTCGCGCACTTGACAGACACAGATCACTGTGCAGATACCGGACAGGCCTTCTGGGTGATTTACAAGGTTCCGTCGAGCTACCAAATTCGTTCGGACAGAGCCTGTTGGCTGCGGCAGAGGTGACTGCAGTCAGGTTACACGAACCAGTCCTATGCGCGCAGAAAAACTTCGTGCAGGCCCCACAGGTACCATGGGTCAAAGCCACCACGTCGCTCATAATTACCCGTCCCAGTGCCCACCATCCTCTTTATCCTGACACTGACGGTAATTTT